TCTCATTCACTGGAAGGTAATCTTTCCAGACTTTTTCTAATCTTAGTAATATCCCTTCTTCCCTCCATATCCTTCCTTCTGTAGCCAAGTTCCGCAATGTTAACCCCTTTCTCTATTCAAATTGTCAGACTTCCTGACTGTATTTGATTAGACTCCTGTTTTTAAGGTTACTTGAAACAATTTGATACTTCCATGCTTCTGTTTATAATTAACCAGTACACTCCATTTGGTATATTTGGTTTCCACTACTTACACTGGGTAAAACCAAGAAACACAGCACTCCAAGTCCCAGCTCCACAAGACAAAGATACCACTTTGGCAGGCAGTGTTATTAAATGACATCAAATACTTTTCTAATCTTTCAAAAATTCCTATTCTCTATCTTAGCTCTTTTAAACCTACCCATTAAACATGAACCTGATCTGAAAAAAACCCCACAATTATTTCAGAGATATTTGTCAGTCTTATACTTTCTAATGGCATTTCAGCACAGAATTGGTGCATTACCTCATTCCCACTGACTACAACAAACTCTGAGAGTGCGCCTTGTTTCCAGGGAGGAACTGCGGCCCAGACCTGAAACACACACACAACTTCCTCAGAAACAAATCTTTTTTAACCAAAGCTAAGCAGGAGGGTAATCCCCAATACATACTCCACCCAATGAAAAAAGCACAAGTCAGCAATACAACAACCAAAAGTTATTTTTACATGATATAAATAAATGTATTATTTAGTATGCTTCTGCACTTATCAAGTCAAGTCACACTGGAAGCAGATGCTGCTGTATTTACTGACTACATACTTTAAAATACCACCAAGAGCACAGTCTCTGGGGCATGAATCCTGGCTCTACCACTTACCAGCTGTGGAACTTCTGTGTAGCTGTATAGCTTGGTTTCCCCATCTGTAAAGAGGGCCTAACTGTACTTACAACATACAGATTAAAGAATTATTTTATGAAAAGCAACAAGATCAGTGTTAGCTATAATTATGAACTCACTTTAATTTCTTGGTGTAAAAATTCAGTGACAAGTGACAGGTGATTATACCAAACTTCAGCTATTTTAAAACTATCTAGCCTATGAGGTAGAAATTGTCACTTAAAGATTCTTTCAATAAAAAGAAAAACGGTCCCAATCACACATAAAGTCCTGCAATCTTTAAGCACTAGATTTAGAACACTTGAGCGCAGTGAAGCTATTCTGCCAGAATCAAGAATAACAGAGATAAGAACATAAGGGTTCCAGACAAAGCTAAGTATATTTGTGGGAACGAAGAGGAAAGGTCGCTGATATGGAATATACTTCCAAAAGCAGAATGAAATTTGCATATTTAGAAAGGGAATAGCAGTATTCTATAACTCACCTCATCTCCAGGCTTGAAGTACCTCACATCAAGTCCACATTCCATCACCACACCAGAGACATCCCGACCCAGAGTCAGGGGGAATTCTTCTCCTTTGATTTTAATATGTAAAGGGTCACGTTTCATATTTAAAGCTGCAGCTCCATAACCACCTATAAAATACAGTTTTATCTGTTTCTTCCAAAAGAACGCAATGATTTAAAAACTACTACAGGGTATAGGCCAGGTACAATTCTAGATACTCTGGATGTAGATTATAAATTAATAAAATTTGTTTGTTTGTTTTTTTGCCACCACACAAGAAATCATAAAAACAATGAGTGCCAAAGGGAGGTGGGACGCAGAAATGGATAAAGGGGGGATAAATGGTGATGGAAGGAGACTTGACTTGGGGTGGTGAACACAATACAATATACAGATGATGTTTTACAGAACTGAACACCTGAAACCTATGTAATTTTATTAACCAATGTCACCCCAATAAATTCAATAAAAAAGAAACAAAACGAAACAATGAGTGCTGTTCCTTTCAAAGAAAAGTACTTGGAAGGTTATAATCACTTGTTAAACCAAAGCTACCATTGCTCAAAATGTTTAAAATTCAATTTTGAAACTGCCTTCAGTACTTTCAGTATTTTCTCTTATAGTTTTAGTTTGTTCTTTGAAGACAGTTTCTTTAATGTATTCATTCATAAGCTTTTTAAACAACAAAGTTGTTTGGAGCCCAGTCTGGTGAAGAAGAGAAACCCTAAAGCTGTTTGAAGTTGCCGAAACTGGTTTGGCTCAGTGGATAGAGCATCGGCTTGCGGACTGAAAGGTCCCAGGTTCGATTCCAGTCAAGGGCATGTACCTGGGTTGCGGGCACATCCCCACTGGGAGATGTGCAGGAGGCAGCTGATCGATGTTTCTAACTCTCTATCTCTCTCCCTTCCTCTCTCTGTAAAAAAATCAATAAAATATATTTTTTAAAAAAAAAGCTGTTTGAAGTTAATAAACCAATAAATAAGGCATAGTTATATTTGACACTGACATTGGTCTATAAGTAATGGCCCCCACCTCCCAAAAAGTGTTTGCAGAACATCTATGGATTAAGCCCATCGATTGACTCTCCAGTGAAAAAGAACCACTCATCTGCACCTGGTCTAATACGTTAAATCAAGTTAATTGCTTTATTATACATATCCATTTATTTTTAAGAACATTTATCAGCTAAGTAGAGCTGAAAACATTCTGATCATATTTTTTGGTTCAATAAGTTGGCTACTCTACCTACAATAATCCGAATATATAAAATGGGCTAGCTGGCATGGCTCAGAGGTTGAGCATCAACCTATGAACCAGGAGGTCATGGTTCAATTCCTGGTTAGGGCACTTCTGGGTTACGGGTTCGATCCCTAATAGGGGATGTTCAGGAGACAGCCTATTAAATTATATATATGTATATATATACATATATATACATATATATGTAGATATAGATATTGCCAAGACACAAAAGTATCTGTAATTGTCTCTCTACTTGACATTTTTTTGAGAACATGTCATCAGGTTCTCTAAGATAAACACTCTGCTTACCTTTCTAGTGTCATGTACCACAATTTAAATTCCAGAATCACTAAACCAGTCTATAAGTCTCCTTTCCCCCAACCCACTCTCAGAGGTAGTACATTAGGTGACCTTGATAGGAGCAGTTGCTGTGGCGTGAAGATACAGAGAATGGGAAGTAGGAGACAGTGGAGAGATGCAACTGAGATGGAGAGAGGATTTTTCAATGTGTTTCTCCCCCCACCCCCACCCCCCTTTTAACATGGGAGAAGTAGCAGTCTGTATGCTAATGGGAATGACCCAGAAGAAAAGACTGAAGATGAGAGAATTGCTGAAACTCACATAAGCAAAAGCCAGATCATTATTATGCATGTAAAGAGATCTTAAGAACACAAAAATTGAGAGTTGCTATTCTACTCTATCACACAACTCCTAGAAACAAAGAGGAAGGAATTAAAGAAGTCAAAGTTTCAACTTCTTTCATATTTCTCTCTAAATTTCACAAAATGATTCACTCTAAATTAATCTTAATTTTGTTATTAGATATATACATATATGAAAGAAACTTAATTCATCATGCATAGTTCACATACATGATGGGGCAAAAGTAGGTTTAAGTTGTTTGTATAGAAAATAACACAATAATTAATAAGTAATACAAGAATAAACTGTATTTCACATACAACTGTAAACCTACTTTGGCCCCACCCTGCACAATTGTTATTGAGGCAATCTGATGAGTAGAACTGTAGGTCTACATATAAGCCTTGAAAACACAGACACGTGATAAAATTATACTCATATAGAAGCTTGTTTAGAACACTTAGGTTAACTGACCAATCAATCATCCCAGATGGGTTTTTTTTACTTTTTCAGAACACATGAGTAAGTTCCTATAAGCAATATTTTTGTCACTACTCTCCAAAGTTATTCACAAATAGCAATCAATTTTTTCAGCACTATAATTACATGGTATATATTTAAGGAATCATAGTGCTCTTCAATCTTTGTCAGTATATCCCAGAAGAAATTAAGAAACAGTAACATTGTTCCCACTTAGGATAACAGAAAAGTGTATTTTAACTGCTGAGGCCAAATGCATCAGCAGAAAGGAGGAAAGCACTGCGTCCATATCCTGGCAAGGATGGAATTTCTGAAGAAATAAGAAAGCTGTGAACGGTGAGAGAGCAAAGAAGTATTACAAAAATGCAAATTCTGAACTGATGTGAAAACATACAACCGTACCTCTGAAACCTGTGATAGCACTTCAGAATATCACAAAATCCCCAGGAGAGGATACCAGACACAACTCTCGAATCCCAATTTACATTTTAAGGAAGCCTGGAAGCAATTCAAACTTACATTTTGCAAAAGATTAAAGTACACTATGGGCATTGCAATTTCAAACATCTTGGAACTATCTGCTGACATACTGTCAAGAACCTAAACAATTCCTTTGTGTTAGCCAAACAAGTATACTAAAACAACGATTAATCTTTTAAAATTACTGATCCCTGATGAAGTTCTCTTAAGAAAAACA